CCACGTGGAGGCCAGAATCGGTCCCCCGGCGGGGGGGGCGCTCTTTCCTCGCGGGGGGGGGGAGGACGGACCCTTGGCTTCGTCGATCTCGCCTTACTCGGGGACCCCTCCCCCAACGCCAGGCTCTGCTGAAGTTGCGGGGAAGGGGAGGCCGAGCTGTCGGTGGATCTCCTTGGGATCGGGGCCGTCGGGTTGGCCGCCCAGCAGGCCCCTTGGGAGTGCCCGGAGCTGGGCGTCGGTGGGTCCTCCGGCCGGGCCTGGGCGGCTCCCGCATTCCAGCGCCCCCCTCCCCCCGCCATCCTTGGCTGGTGGGAACGGCCCTTTGTTGCCTCGGGAAGGGGGGAGGTGTGTCTGCCCCGGCACCTGTTTGGTGGGCCTCGGGACTCCTTGGGGTGGGGAGGCTGTAGTTGAAGCCCTTTCCTCTGATCTCCTGGGGTGTGCCATGCGGCGCAGTGCCTGGGGCCTCCTGGCCCGGCATCCTAATGGCCAGTCCTGCCCCCTTGTTCTGGTGAAACAGTGGCATTGTGTGCAGAACAGAGGCGGGTCTGTCTCCTCTCTTGGGCAGCCCTGCCAGGACCTGGAATCCACTTAACTGTGCGTGTGCCAGTTTTGTTAAAACTTGCCCACCCAGCTTTGGGGCTGTGGGGGGGGGGAGATCCAGATCTGCCCACCTGTGATGTGAACATCCCACCCCCACTGGTCCCCTCTCCTTGCCCCTCCCCATGTGCCCAGGAAGTGGCTCTGCCTCCTCCCCCCAGGGCTGGCGTCTGATGCTTGTTTGGCTGGGCTTCCCGTGTCTGAATATGACCTGCTCACCCAGCCGTGGCCCAGTCTTGCCTGCCTGCCTTCCTTGGCTGGGGGCCAAAGCCCATTAAAGTCCTGAGTCAGTACCTGGACTTCCTGCCCCTGCCGGGGTGCATGGCGGGCTGCTGGCGCTCCCACTCCCCCCCTGTGTCAGCAGTGCAGCTGTCCCGGGGGCAATTGCTGGGTGGCAACACCTCCTCCTGCTCAGCCCCACAAGATGAAAGGGGAATGGGGCTGGCTTGGGCCGGGAGGGAGGGAGGGAAGGCGGGCCAGTGGCTGGATTCCCAGCAGCAGAGGCATTTCTGGAGTTCATTTTTGCCCTCTCTCTAAACGGGCTAGTGGGTGTGCTGCAGGTTGGGTTGCGTTGCTGGACTAGCCACTGGGAATACCTGGGAACCAATGCCTCCCTCTAAGCTGTGGAGTCTTGTGAGCAGAAATTCTACTTTGTGAGCGACTGGTATTAAAGTTGTGAGAGCGAGCCATTTGGCGACTGCATAAATGAGTTTGCTCTGGAGCCCTCCTTCCTTAGCTGAGACAAAAATGGGTGAGCCGGAGGCTAAAAAACTGTGAGCCAGCTCACACTCACTCAGCTTAGAGAGAACACTGCTGGGAACCCTCTTGGGCTGAGGGCCGTCCCCATGTTTAGTTGGCATCTGGTTGTGTGGCCATGGGGGGGGGACGACGACGACACTGTTCTGTTCTGAGTGGGCGAGCAGACCCAGGGGCTACCCTTCTGGCAACACCTCTGATGCTCAGCTGGGCACACGGGGAGGTTAATGGCTGGCAGCCTCGTTCTGGCAGAGTCTGTGTGTTCACACATGCTCAAAGGCGGGAGTCCTTGTTCAGGGGCCAGAGGGCCCTGTTGGTCTAGACAGGACGGAGCAACTGGGGGGGGGCCTCCTCAGAGGCTCCTGGTGCTGACTGAGGTGCTGCTTGCGCACACAGGGGGGGTTCCTCTGTCCAGGAAGAGCAGGGAGGCAGGCAGGTGCCAGGGCAGCCTTGGTCCCCCCCCCACACACACTGGGGGGGGGGGAGGAAGCTTTTTCCAGTAATGGCTGCCGCACTGAGCTCTGCTAATGGCTGTGGCACTTAGAAGATCCCATTAAGTGATGAGCGGTCGGAGTCGGCTTTGACCTCAGAACCTTCCTTGCTTGGCGGAGGGGCAGCTGGGAACTTGCTCTTGTTGGAAGATGTGTGTTTGTGTGACTCTGCAGCCGTGGGCCGGGGGGGGGGGGGGGGAGAGGAGCTGCTCCGGGCACCTTGCTTGGGGAACGGGAGCCCTGAGCACACACACACCCCCGTCTCCTCGCCCCCAGCTGCCAGGGCATGGCTCCGATGTGAAGTCCTCTGCGGGCTGATTGCTCGACTCCTGTTTGGTGTGCCGGGATTCCCTTGTGCTTGGGAAGCCTTGCCAAATAGGTGCCTGGGTCTTGGAACAGAACTCCTGAACCCTCAATGGGGGTATCTCAGATGCCGTCTGGTACCATAAAAATCCTGCTCAAAGCTCCCCCTTCCTCTTGAAATCCCTCCCCTGCTTGTGACCAGTTGTGGTTTTGCTGAGCTCTTTCTTTCTGCTCCCCCTGCGGGCTGTTGCCAGAATCCAAATCTGTGATGGAGTACCATGTGATATTTGCATGCGAGTCGTTCTAGGGGATGGCTGCTTATTGTGCTGAAAGTGGCAGAGGGGTATTTTTTCGGTTGGTTGTTTTAGAGGAGGTCCCCTCTGTCTGGTCAAGTTGCGCCTTTCTTGCTCACCTGTTGGTAGGCGCTATAGGTGGCAGAGCAGAGGTCGGACATTCAAGTCTGTTGAAGAGGGAGCCTACGGAATGATGCTTATCCTAAAGGGGTTAACTTGTCCTCGCTGCCCAAAAGAGGCCAACCCTAACACTTGTCCTCACTGCCCAAAAGAGGGGGAGGCGTATGTCAGCGGTCGGGGGCCTGAAAGGAGCCATTTGGTTGTCTTGGTTCAGACTGAGGTAGCGTATTGTGCCCAAAGTCTCATCTGTGCGGTGGCATAAGGGCAGAGAGCGGGCGTGTTCTGGGGCCTGCCCTGTCCCTTCAGCTGGCATGCGGCTGATCTGTGGAGCATTCCTTTCCCTGCCCCCACCCCCCTCTTGGATGCCAGCCTCCGCTGGATGGGAAGTGGAGCGTGTCTGATGCTCTGAAGGGACTTTCCTGCCACAGGGCAGGATGTTTCTACAACTCGCAAGCGAAGGGCCCCTGAGAACAGGGAGTGGAAACGGCCCTGCCGATAGATACTCTGGAAGCCTGCAGGAAAGGCCTCCTAATGGCCTGTGGTTTCTGAGCAGGGCTTGCGTGTCGGGGCCTTCGGAGCGCCAAGTCTGGGCTGGAGTTTGTCTGGTTGGGAAGAAATAAGTCACACTGGATTCTTTTAAAAAAAAGAAAAATATCATTATCATTATTCTGAATTAAAATAGGGATACAGAGAAGAAGGGGGAAAGGGGAGATACAGATATATTATAATAATCTATGGATTATGCATAACAAATCCACTCTGGGCCCTGGGACCGGCGTGGCCAGCAGCCCAATTTGCTGTCTTGGACAGAGGCCTGCGCTTGAGTCCCAGGCTGTGTTCAGGATGCTGGGTATGACCCCGAAAGCCCGAAAGGTCCCCTCTTCTGTCTCCCCCTGACACTGGGTCATCTGGAGTGGCCGTGTGCAGAGATGGCTGCACAGGGTGGGGCAGAGCTGTCCGGTGTGTGTGTGTGTGGGGTAGCATCATGAAATATGCCTCTCACCCCCCCTTGCTACATTCCTCTCTAATTTGAGGTTGGTGAAAACAACTTTTGAGGGGGGGGGGAGTTATATGGAATGGAGCAAATGAGCAGAGCTTCTGGCTCCTGTCGTGCTACTTCTACGGATCCGTGGCCAAGGCTGTCAGTTGTGTTGATTGGCTCCAGTGGGTGAAGCCGCTGCACGTCTTCAAATGGCCTTTTGATTGTGAGCCACTCTGTGGGCTGAGGGTCATCCCCAAAGCGGGTTGCCCGAGGGGGTTGGCTTGGGTGGGCTGCATCCCCAGCCCCAGGAGGTGGCGAGCTCTGGGGCTGCCAGGCGTGCCTCTTCTCATTCTTGGTCCTGGTTCGCGGGTTGTCGTGTGTCTCCGTTTGCTTCCTCTGGTCCGCCAGGCGGCCACTCTTCTCAGCCTGCCTGTGTCTGGGATTCATCTCCTTCACTTATTCCCTGCCTTTCTCCCCAGTGGGGACCCAAAGCCGTTGGTTTTCCTCTCCTCCATTTTAGCCTCACCAACAGCCTTGTGAGGTAGGTGGGGCTGGGAGGGGGGGCAATCCCAAGGTCACACGGCAAGCTTGCATGGCGGCAGCGTGGGGATTCGAACCTGGGCCTCACAGATCTTAACTCTGACACCCTGGCTGCTCCACCATGCTTGATCCCTGCTGACTGCATGCTTGTGCTCCACTGTCTGTGGGGGGTGGGGCAGCCTGCATGCTACAGGCAACAAGATCCTGAACAAGGTCAGGAGGGGGGGACACATGCAATTTGCTTCTGGCTTTGGAAGAATAAGAGACTCCAGCAGCACCAGGGCCCCAGTGTGGTGGTGGTGGTGGTGGAAATGCCCAGAGCTTAGACTATAGGGCCGGGCCTGCCCCCTCCAGAGGGCTTGGGGGCTGGCTGCCCTGGCGGGCTCTGAGGGTAAACAGTCCCCCTCCCCACTGGGCAGGCAGTTCAAGGGCTCCTGCTTACGGATTGCCTGCCTGCCGAGCCCCCCCCCCCCCCCCCTTTACAGGGACAAAAAACCCCCACACCCTGCCTTTAAAGGGCAAACAAAGCCCCTCCCCTGCCAGATGCTCTCGTCATTCCCTCCCCTGGTAAAGGCTAAGGTTTCCCCGGAGGATTCCTTATCAGAGGCGCATTCCAATCTCCCTTCTCCAAACTCCGGCCCCTCAATTAGGGAACTTGTTCGCACTTGAGCTGAGGCGGGTCAGAGGGGGGGTGGATGGCTTGTCCAGATAACAATGGCTGAGGCTCAGGAGGGCTTAAAGCAAATGGACTTTGAGCTGCAGACGGCCGGTGGCTTCCAGCAAAACCAAGCGCTGTCTAGTTAAGGGGGCGGCGGGCGGGGGGGGGGGGGGCACGATCACCCTTCGGGATCAGCCCTAAGTAAGTAAGTGGCTGCTTGGAGTTGTTCCCTGCCAGGCGGGGATCCAGGCCTTGCACTAATGGCGGCACCTGCTCTTCCCCCTCCCCCAGTCCAGTTTGAAGACTGCACGGGATGGAAGCTGGCACAGTACAGCGCGGAGGATGCCAACTTCAGGGTGCTGGCAGACGGCACGGTCCTGGTGAGGCACCACACAAGGCTGCGCGGGGGCGAGAGGACTTTCGTGGTGCGGGCCTGGGATGCCACCGGCAGCAAATCCTCAGCCGTGGTGACGGTGAGAAGCAAACGCCGTCGTTCACCACAGGTAATGTGCACAGAGCACCTGGCAGCTCTCGGGGGAGTGCGGGCGCCATGGCAACCCTTGGGCCTCAGTGAGGCTGTTGTGGTGGAGCGGGCGCTGATGGGCCTGGGCTGTTCCTCCGCAGGTAGGAAACACCTCTCTGGGGAGGGGCTCCCTCTGCCCAAAGCCAGGGGGAGAGTTCTTCCTGTGGCGGAAATAGCTCCGGGTTCCCCAGCCTTGGAGATCAGGCTGGTGCGCAGCTGCTGGGAGTTCCTTCAGGGAGGCCCCGCGAGGGACTGGCGGCACAGCCACTGGGGGGGGAGCTTCAGGTCCCAGGGCAGCCTGGTTCCTCCGGCAGCATCAGGCATTCTCAAGAGGACCTTTGTTGTGCAGGCTTCCCCCTTCAGCTCCAGCCTTGCCTCTAGTAAGGAGCTAACACCAGTCCTGCAAATGTATGAACTGGGATGGCGTTCTGCTGGTCTTGCCAACTGCTGTAGAGGCCTCTGGGCCGTCAAATTAAAGTGCATTAACACGCCAGTTTTTAGGATAATAGAGAAAAACGAGACACTCTGGAGTCTTCCCGGACATAACTTCTCAAATGAGAATCCTCCGGCACACATCAGCAGCCTCTTTTTGTTTGGCTTCTCTAGGCAGACTTAAGTGTTTCATCCTCCTCCCCTCCTGTGTGATGCTTCCTCATTGTGAGTGCTCAAGGTCTGCCTTCCCCCCCATAACACGGGGAGGGCCGGTCCTTGTCCCCAGGCGCAGCCTCTGTCTAATGTGAGAGGCACCCCCTCCCCCCCACATTCCTGGCACGTAAAATACCCTAATAGCCTTGTACCAACCTGCCAATTTCTGCAGCTTGAGGATGGCTCGAAGGGAAAGGTGGGTGTGGGACAGGTGGGAATTCAGGTCCTGGGGGAGGGGGTCTCGTGGGAGCTTTGCCCAGACTCCCAGCGTCGGAAGCGCCAAACAAACCTTCTACTCTCAAGTCTGTAGCAGAGGGGAGTTTCTGGGCTGTGGAATAACAAGCATTCTCTGCAGGCTGGTTTGGTGGTGTTTTGGCTAAAGCTGCTGTGTCTGCTGCTTGTGGCTTTATCGTGAGAGCTGGGAATTCCAGGCCCCTTTGTTATGGTGTCAGCAGCACTTGGGCAAAGGAGGGGCTGTGGCCAAAACCAGCTCCTGACCTGGTGCAGAGAATTAGCTCCAAGAGGGGCTGGATAGGAAACGTCTCAGTAGGCAACCGCTACAGACAGGGACCGCTTTGCAGGACTGGTGCGCATTTGTGCTTCCTCCCACAATGGCCGAGGATTGCATGCTGCGCTCTTTCCCGGTTTCGGGCAACTGTGCTCAGCAGGACTCGGATGCCAGCTGTAGACCTGGGAGCAGTTCCTTTAGATTCTTGTCCTCATGGAAAAAATCTGTCCTTTTGCAGAGAGAGTCCGATCCTGCCAGCCTGGTGGAGGTGCAAAGGTTTCCAGGGGCCAGGCCTGGCCCGAAGCGGCAGAAGAGGGATTGGGTGATCCCGCCCATAAAAGTCCCTGAGAACGAGCGGGGCCCCTTCCCCAAGAACCTGGTCCAGGTACAGCAGTCTCTCGAAAGACCCCAGTCGGTGGGGGGTGGGAGGTGCCGCTTGCCTGCTGAGATGCTTGCGCCTGCAGGTCTTCCCGGGACGGGGTTGTGTGGAAGGCCAGGCCCTCTTTTTCTGCTGAGTGAGCTGCCAAAGGGGATGGGTTCAACCAAGGCAGCTTCTTGGCCTTCTGCAACCAGCCCCTCTTTTTGCAAAGGTGGGGGGGCGTGGCTTGTTGGCGGAGCCCCTACTTGGCTTACAAACTGTTCCCCGTCCAGTCCATCCCGTTTACAAGGAACTTGGGGAGCAGGGCCCCAGAAAGGCCATCCAACCCATCCCGTTTACAAGGAACTTGGGGAGCAGGGGCCCAAAAAGGCCATCCAGCCCATCCCGTTTACAAGGAACTTGGGGAGCAGGGGCCCAGAAAGGTCATCCAGCCCATCCCGTTTACAAGGAACTTGGGGAGCAGGGGGCCAGAAAGGCCTCTTCCTAGCAGAGCCCCTGGAGAGACAAGGGTGGGGATGGGGTCGAGGAGCACGGATGCCGAAAGAGAGGACAGCCTCATGTGCCCGAAGGCTTGCAACGGCTCCTGTCTTTGTTTCTCGGCTTCAGATCAAATCCAACAGGGACCGAGAAGGCAAGATCTTCTACAGCATCACTGGGCAGGGGGCAGACATGCCTCCCGAGGGTGTCTTTACCATTGAGAAAGAGACAGGTTGGATGAAAGTGACCCAACCCTTGGACAGAGAAGCCATCGACAAGTACCACGTAAGTAGCCTCTCCCCAGTCGAGGTCTCTTGCGGCACCTGAGAGCCAGGGGCCCGGTGATCGGCAGGTTGAGGGGGGTGTTTTTCACTTGGGACTGAGTTGGGGAGGGGCTCTGTTCCGAGCCGGGGTGGTGGAGGACAGGAGTCCTTTGGACTGCTCCAGCTCTTTCCATGCTGATCATCCTCCCCTGCAGCTTCTGTCGCACGCCGTGTCTGAGAATGGGAAGCCCGTAGAGGAGCCAATGGACATCATAGTCACGGTCACCGACCAAAATGACAACAGGCCCCAGTTCACCCAGGAGGTCTTCAGGGGGTCTGTCTTGGAAGGAGCAACGCCTGGTAAGGGGGAGGGGGGCTTGGGGGGGGCTGGAGGCAGACATTAAAACAAATTTCATTAGTAACTAATGTAAACTTACCTTGCGATCTGGACTCCATCCTCTTGGAGACACGGCGTGCAGCTGTAAGCAGCAAAAGTATAGAAACGTTTCTACCCTATTGATGTTAGCAAAAATAACGATCGCACAAAAATGGATGCAAAGAGATGTCCCTACATTAACAGGTTGGGGAAAAAGAATCTGGGATTGCTTCATCTATGGGCGTACTTCATAGAACTCCTCGGCTTTGCTGTCAGAAAAATATCAAAACAGAAGATCCAGCTTTTGCAGCTGAATGGCTGCAGGAAGAAGGACCCCCCATGCCAACTGTTGGAGAGGTGTGGGGGTGGTGGTCTTCAGGAGGGGCCAGGCAGATTCTGGGTGGGGCTAGAGCCCCAGGGAACCCCACCGTGGCTCCAGGCCGGAGGCTGGATGGACCGGTGGTTGGACTGGGCCTGCATCCCTCTCTCCACCCCCAGGGACCTCCGTGATGCAGGTCACCGCCACGGACGCTGACGACGACATAGAGTCCTACAACGGGGTGGTCGCCTACTCCATCCTGGGCCAAGTGCCGGGGGAGCCCGAGAAGCAGATGTTCGCCATCAACAGGGAGTCAGGCGCCATCAGCGTGATCGCCAGCGGCCTGGACAGGGAGGTGAGTTGCCTGGGGGAAGGAGGAGGGCCGGTCCTCTGTAGTGGTGAGGGATGACGGCCCTGACCCTCCCCAGGTGTGGTCTCCTCCCAGGCGGCCTTGCCCAGCGGGCCTCTGCTGGCCATCTTGGATCCGTTGGCAGGTGCCTCCTGGCCATTCCGTCACGTGCCAAGTGCAAATGGCTTCTCCTTGGGCGCGTTTCTCTTCCCTCGGTGGCCCCTGCCTTCTGAGCAGCCTGGCACCCTCGGCCGGGCTCACAGGAGGGGCCTTGGGTTCAACAGGAGCTTGCGTCTGCGGAGAGGTGGCTTGTGCCGAAGGGCGCTTGCTTCAGTCAAGCCGCGAATCATGTCGAGTGTGTGTGTCTGTGTCTAAACTGCTGATTTATCACAAGCTGCTCCAAACCACAGGGAGAAGCAGGGTAGAAATGTTTAAAGAGCTGATCCAGTTGCAAGCAGGGTAGAAATGTTTAAAGAGCTGACCCAGTGTCCCTGCAGTGCTGGCTGGCTCCCAGGTCCTGGGTGTCGCTGCTTGGTGGCGGCTTTAGGACGTAAGGCGGCGCGCCTTCTGTGTGGGGGCAGGGCTGGGGCCCAGGGCTGGGGCCTCTGCTTGGCATGCGGAAGAGCCTGGGCCCAACTCCTGAGACCTCTAGTTGAAAGGGTGACGTCACGGATGATGGGCAGGACCTCTGCCTGGGACCCTGGCGAGCCCTGGCTCGTCAGAGGAGAGAACGCCCAGAGTCTGTAGAAAGCAGCCTTGTGTGTGAGTCCGTTCACTGTCTCTCCGCATTAAAGAGGCCTGCGAGTCTGCTTTGGTTTGGTGCTGATGAGAACCCCAAGGATTGGTGGGTGATAAACTCTGCGGGATCCCCCGTGAAATGGTGTGGGGGAAACCCTGTGCTTGTCCTCACTGGACCCTCTGCCTGGTTGTTGACAACACTAACGGGAACATCGTCCTCTTCCAGAGAGTGCGGGAATATACGCTCGTCCTGCAAGCTGCTGACTTGGACGGCAAAGGGCTGACCACCACGGCGTCTGCGGTGATCGAAATTGGGGATGCCAATGACAATGCCCCCCAGTTCAGCCCCTCAACGGTAATGGAACCATCTTCCTTTGGGGCCTCAGAGTATGTCTGCTTCTGGAGATGATATCCCCGGGCTGCCTCAACAAAGGAGCTGGGGGTGGGGGGAGAATCAGCAACTTGGGGGTTTATTTGTGTGTCGTCCTCCTCCCGGCTGCAGTTGCCCTGGGGTCTCCTCTGGCCATTAAGGCCCAGGTGGGTGTGCGGCTCTTGACGGCCAGGGGTTTCATAGCCCAGGCAACACGCAGGGCTAGACCCTAAATACTGAAATAAATGCCTCTGGGGCAATTGCGCTCTTTGCAGTACACAGCAGAGGTGGCAGAGAACGAGGCCGACCTGGAGGTTGCAAGGCTGTCTGTGACGGACATGGACGAGGCTGGCTCGGCCGCGTGGCGCGCCGTGTACAAAATCGTGCGTGGTGACGAAGGGGGCTTCTTCCGCGTATCCACCGACTCTGAGAGCAACGAAGGCATCGTGGAAACCGCCACAGTACGCACTGGGCTTGCACCTGCTGTGCTGGGGGGTCCGGGGTGTGTGTGCTGGCACTGAGCTCGCAAACGCTGCAACTAGGAGACTCTTCTCCCTTGTGGAAGCTGGAAGACAGCAGGCCAGGGGGGCTCTGGTTGGAGGCACCAGGTAGCATGTACCAGAATAACGCACAGTCAGGCGATGCCACGCTTCCTTGTCAGCTTGGCGTCGCTTGCTTGTGAGTAACATCCTGTCTGGCCAAGGGAGCTTTGGCTCTCTTCTTGGTCTCTAAGGTGCTACTAGACTTGAATCTACCTGTTCTGTCTGAAGACCCACATGGCCACCTTCCCAAAATATAGGGGTGGCAGTCCAGGGAGGCTCTTCTTTCAATGGAAGCAGTACCTGCTGCACCCCCCACTTTTTAGAATCACAGTGCTCTCTGTTGAACTAGACATTTGAGCTAGAATACCAGCTGGGTTTGTGTCCTGTTACCTTCAGAAAGAGCATGTAGAAGAACAGATCACTCCTTAAACTGCTCCCTCACTAGTTAATGGAGTTGTACCAGTCTGAGAACTGTAGCAGCAGCAGCCGTTTCTCACTCTCCTCTTGTGAGTCCACGTAATTCTCCAGCTCTGTGCCCCCAGCTACACGGGCCCGTTGGCACACTCTGCCACCAGCCGTCCTTGAGGCTTGTTACAAGCAACCCCCTTCAAACGACTGAGCGGGCCGTGGGGGCGTGGGAGTGGCCACAGCTGGTGGTGGGTTGTAGCTACTGTGTCGGGGCTGCTCCACCTTTAGCGAAGGTTCCCGGCTACTCAGCAAATGACCTCATTGCCCTTTTCTTGTTGGGGGAAAAGATACACAACTACTGAAAGATCGGCTCTCCTTTTTCAGGGCAGTCACTGGGGCTAGATCCTGGATCCTGAGCGTGTTCTTTTAGCCCAATAGAATATCATATGTTTTACTGACTGTTTTACCGAAAGAGGTCTGCCCAGAGCATAGAGCTGAGGCAACTAGAACGTGATGGCTTGTGATGAGGGTGGGGTGGGGGGCTGTTAGAAGCACCTCTAAGTCTAGGTGACAAAGCAATTTCTGGAGCTACAAAGGATGCTGCCACAGCCCTGGAGCAGCTCCTCCGGCTTACCTTTGGAGCACAGCAGCCGCTGAGTCGGATCCTCGGGTCTGACATTTTCTTCTTCCTTCCCTCCCCAGGCCTTGGACTTTGAGAGAAAGAAACAGTTTGTGCTGCAGGTGGCCGTCACCAACGAAGTCCCCTTTGTCGTGAAGTTGCCCACCTCCACAGCGACTGTGACTGTCAACGTGAGGGATGTGAACGAGGCGCCCATCTTTGATCCTCCGGTCAAGGTGGCCGAAGTCTCGGAGGACGTCCCTCTGGGGCACCAAGTCACGGTGTACACCGCCCGAGACCCAGACAGAATGCAGTCCCAGAAAATCAAGTAAGTCACTCGGCTGCTGTTACAGGCAGGTTAACGCAACAGGCTTCTCGCTCTAGAAAAGAAATGGTTGGGATTTTTCTACTTGTTGAATGCAGGAGGCTTCCAGATTGAATGGGGAGAGTCCACAAGACACCTTGTTTCTTTGTGAGCAGGACTTGTGTGGTTCCCAGGTTTTAAAGGGGAATTAAAAAAATAAATAAAGCCGCTTTGATTCCATTCACACGAGAAGAAGAGAAGAGATTGGATTTATACCCCGTCCTTCACTACCCAAAGGTGTCTCAGAGCGGCTCCTTTCCCTTCCCCTCCCCACAACAGACACCCTGTGAGGTGAGTGGGGCTGAGAGAGCTCTTGACAGAAACGGCTCTTTTTCGAGAACAGCTCTTATCAGAACTACGGCTTGCCCAAGGCCATCCAGCCAGGTGCAAGTGGAGGAGTGGGGAATCAAACCCGGTTCTCCCAGATTAGAGTCCGCCCACTTAACCACGACACCAAACTGCCCCAAGTCACTTATGGAAGCTCCACCAGTTGCTGTGATGGGGAGGGAGGATTGAGCTAAATTCAGCTTTCCGAGGGGCTTGGGGTAGCTCACTGCCCTGTACCCTCCCTCCCTCCCTCCGTCCCTGCCTTTGGCCCTTTAAAGCGCTCTTTCTGCTTTCCCTGCTGGACTACGCTGTGGCAGGCTCAGCAGGGGAGAGGGGGAGTCTGGGGCCATGGGGTGGGGTTCTTGTGTGATCAGCAGTGTTCCCTCTAAGCTGAGTGAGTGTGAGCTAGCTCACAGTTTTTCAGCCTCCGGCTCACAGATTTTTGCCTTCGCTCAGGAAGGATGGCATAGTGTCCTGGCCCCACTGGTGGACCTCCTGATGGCACCTGGTATTTCTGGCCACTGTGTGACACAGAGTGTTAAACTGGATGGGCCATTGGCCTGATCCAACATTGGCGTCTCTTATGTTCTTATGTTCTTAACCAAATCGCTCGCTCACAACTTTAATGCCAGTAGCTCACCAAATAGAATTTTTGCTCACAGGACTCCACAGCTGAGAGGGAGCCTTGGTGGTCAGTGTCTGCAGTCTTGCCTAGATGCAGTGGGGTAGAGGGGCAGGGAGAGGAGCAGCAGCAGTGGTTGAGACAGGGCCCAGGGATGCGCTGCCTCTATGGAGACACCCTTGGTGGAGGGAGGGTCCGTGGCTCAGTGGTAGAGCCTCTGCTTGGCATGCAGAAGGTCCTAGGTTCAGTCCCCGGCATCTCCAGGTAATAAGCTCTGGCAGTAGGTGGTGTGAAAGAACCTCTGCCTCAGACCCTGGATAGCTGCTGCCAGCCTGAGCAGGCAATACTGACCTTGGTGGACCAACGGTCTGATACACTCTAAGGCAGCTTCAGCAGAAGTAAACTATCCCATGGCACCTTTAAGGCTCATGGGCCTTTCATCTGGCATTATCTTCCGTGGACTAGAACTCCCTTCCTTAGATGCGTCTCGTGGGCAGCCGTCTGTGCCAGGCTGTGAAGAGAAATTATAAACAGCAGGGTCAAAGGGGCAGGGAACAGAGGGTGGAACATAATTACGTGAAGTTCAAATACAGCCTCTCAGTTTTGCTTAGCTAGTTAATGCCTGAGCTGACTTTGGAGAAGTCCTGGGTCCTTGTTAATTAAAACTTTGGGAGATGTTATCAGCCTCCTTGATGAATTCTAATTAGCAAGCTTCGACCCGGAGCTTCCTTTGGAAGTTCTCTGGTTGGATGGAGGATGGTGGCTTAGAGGTTAGCGGCAGAGCCTCCCGAGGGATTTCCCTTGCACGTTCTTGGGATTAAAATAACCAAGCAACCAAGCGGCAGACCAGACGGTCAAGTCCAGACTAGTTCTGAGAAATGGCCAAGTGCGAGCCGTGCCCAGAAGAGAATGGAATGTCACTGGCTGATCACCTGCAGCTTCCAGCCCAGAACGCTCCATTGCATCATGGGTGATCTAGTGCACATCTTGTGCAGGGACATCTCTCTCAAAGGCCCCCCCCCCATTCAATCCCGTACCAGATGATAGGAAAGGCCTCTGCTTGGGCCCCAGGACAACCACTGCCCATTGGAGTGGACAAGACTGACCATGATAGGTGGAGGGTCGGATTTGGTATTGAGTAGCCAGTCTGGTGTAGTGGTTAAGTGCATGGACTCTAACCTGGGAGAACTGGGTTTGATTCTCCACTCCTCCACATGCAGCTGCTGGTGTGACCTTTGGTCAGTCACAGTTCACTCAGAGCTGTTCTCTCAAGAGCAGTTTCTCTCAGAGCTCTCTCAGCCCCGCCTACTTCGCAGGGTGTCTGTTGTGGGGAGGGGAAGGGAAAGGAGACTGTAAGCCGCTCTGAGACTCCTTCAGGTAGTGAATGGCGGGGTATAAATCCAATCTCCTCCTTCTTCTCTTCTATTCTTTGGGTTGGGTGGGTAGGCCTTTCCTGACTTAGGCCCGCCCCCGCCCCCCAAGTCCAAAACGATAATGAGAACAGATTGCCTAACAGACAAAGCCAGCAACCAGCTCAGGTGCGAACTCCATCATCCCTGTGTCCATTCAGTCCCTGTTCTTCCAGCGTCTGATACGGGCCGCTCGCTCATGGCCTCCCCTGACAAGAAGAAGCCTGCCATCTATCAGCAGCTGCGGGAGGGGCGTTGCTCGCCTGGGACAGATGGGTCAGCCTCTGAGCAAAAGGGTCAGCTGACCCACATCTGGCAAAAGCCCACATTCCCTCTGAGCCTCCTAGTCTAAGGGTCCCTGGCTGCGTTCCTGAAACTTGAGGGCCCGTGGGTGGGCCCCGCCCAGGGGTCATTTCCTGCAGGTGCGCACAGGAGCGGAGCTCCGGCAGTAAAGAGCCCAGGGGGCGGGCACATGCAACAAGCCCCACCCCCTGCTCCCAGGAGCCCTCAGTCAGAGCAAGAAGCAGCCAGATAAGTTGCAGAGCCCACCTCCTGGCCCCCTGGTCCAAGACAGTCCAGTGGCACCTTTAAGACCAAGTTTTATTCAGGTACAAGCTCTCCCTCCTCTGCGAGGACAGATCTGCACGTCCCTAGCTAGCAATCCAAAACAGTCCAGTGGAGCCTGAGCGGTGGGTGTTGCCTTCTGACACACTTCTGGTGATGTCAGGGGGTGTGGCATATGCAAATAAGTTACTCTAATACGTTATGCTAATGAGATCCTGCACCTCTTTTCCTACGAAATGACCCCTAGCCCCGCCACAAAATGGCTGCCGTGGGGTATGCTGGGGCCAGTCGGAACACCATGGGAGGTTCCAAGCCCTGATGGAGGCTGCTCTTTCCAAACAGGCGCTCCTGGCGAACACGGAGGAGGAGGAGGGGCCGCCTGGGCTCTTCTGAAGCGCCTCCTCTCGCTCCAGTGCAGGAGGGGAGGGCCCCGATTGGCTCTCTACTTGGGGGGGGGGAAGGGTGGGCATCATGGTGCCATGAACACCACTGTGCTGGGCGCCCCTGTCCTCATCCATGGACGTTTATGCCAACTCCTTTTTAACAGGATGCCTGGTCCGCTTAAAGTTAAATGGGGCTGAGTAGCTATTCTGGCTGACGGGACAGACCGCCTTTCGAATGCAGCCCCAGGATGTGGCTTTGGGGGCTGCACAACCTCCCCCCCCCAAAAAACACAACAAACTGGGCTGCCCTTCAAACACTTGTTGCCACATCTGAATGAACGGAAGCCTGGACGCTTTCGAGGCCGGGCTGCAAAGGTGCCGAGTGGGGTTGGGGGGTGCATGTAAAGCGATCTGTCTTAGTGGACCGGCTTAGAAAATGCACTTAAGAATGCACTTAAGACTTAAGAGTGTCACGGTATTGAGTTTCATAGCAAGCGACTCCACCTGTAGCTGTTTCAGGAGCTGGCTAAATAAAAGTGGCATCCTAGCCCCCTTCCTGGTCCCTCCCCCAAGCCCCCCTCCGCCAGCAGTGAAAGGAATGTGGGCGGGGCCTTCTGGCACCCTTGGGTGGGGCTGAGCCCTTGAAGACTGAAGATGTCAATAGGAGAGAGATGCCCCGCGGACCAGGCAAAAAGCCATGGCTGTGAAGTGGGGGGAGGGGGCAGAGCTGAACTAGGCCAGGCAGGCGAGCCCCTCCGCCCCCTGCGCCCCCCTCCCTATACGGACCTTGAGGTGCCCTTGACATCCACCAGAGCAGGAAGGCTGTGGCAGACAGTTTGCCTGGAGCCCTTGGGAGACCGCCTGTCCTAGAAGCAAGGGGGTTGCCAGCCCACAGGGCTTCCCACGGCATTTGCAACATTCCATGTGCCAGAGTTTTGGGGAAATGTTTTTTGCTTTATTACAATGATGCCCTGCCTTTCCTTGTGGCTCAAAGGGGGCAAGTAGGTGCATGTGCAGATAAGAGGAGGGTGATGAGAAAGAGGTGGAGCTGTCCACAAGCGATCCCCCAGTCTCCCCTCCCCTTGCATTTTGGAAGGGTACAAGCCGAGGAGGGCTGTGCCTAGTCTCTTCAGGGTGTGCCCTTCAGCCCTGAATTTTTGCGCGGGTGGGTGGGTGGAGGCGCCCCTGTGTGCCTCCGGCTCCGGGCGGCCGGTGTCCTCCTCGCTCTTCTGCTCTTCACTGGGGGTTGTGTCTCCCTTCCTGCCAGGTACTTTGTGGAGAATGACCGGGCAGGCTGGCTCGCCATCCACCCGGAGAGCGGCATCGTCACCACCAGGGCGGCCCTGGACCGGGAGTCCTACCTTGTGAAGAACAACACCTATGAGGCCATTGTGCTGGCTGTGGATGATGGTAGGGGCTGGGGAGGGGGTGGGGTGGGGGAATGCGGCCCTCTGCAGGGGAGGGAATCAAAAGCCTCATTGTTGGGCAGAACCACAGCCTGATCGTCACCCCCGTGTGAGGGGCACATGGCTGCCGAGCTGCGCTCCCTCACAGGCTGTCACGAGAAACCGCATTCCAGTCTGATTAAGGGGGGGGGGAGAGATAAATTTCCTTCCGTCCTTCCTCTCCGTATCTCTTAAAAGAACCTTCTGGGTGGCCTTCAGCCAGGTCCCACTGAGGAAAGAACTGAAGGGTGCTCCCGACTTTCTGTAGCTGGAGGAATGGTGAAAGGTCGTGGACACCCCCCCCCCCAAAAAAAATCTCTTCCCCACCACCATTAGACCTCCAGTGGGGAAGAACAGGGTAGAGATGAGAATCGGGCTGATCACTCGGACTGTGTATGCCAGCAACGAGTGAAGCCGTTTGGCTGCCTTCTCAGCATTGTGCCCGTTCCGAACAGCACATAATGCTCTTCAGCAACCAAAGCAAAAAGCACACCTGAGCCACGTTCATCGGAGCATTAATGTTCACGTTTAAGTGCCTTTGACTTAACTAATAAGTCATGCGCAGTCTGGGTTCTCAAAATAAGTTACAGAAACGTGGAGGTGGCGTGAGCCTGCACTGTTCCCACATGGGCTCGTTTTGCACATTTCCTTCTGAAAAGTGCCGAAAAGGGCAACTCGAATGATAAAAGGGTTGGAACACTTTCCCTATGAGGAAAGGTTAAGGCGCTTAGGGCTCTTTAGCTTGGAGAAAAGACGACTGAGGGGTGACATGATTGAGGTTTATAAGATTATGCATGGGAAAGAGCAGGTAGAGAAAGAGGTACTTTTCTCCCTTTCTCACAATACAAGAACTCGTGGGCACTCCATGAAACTGCTGAGCGGTCGGGTTAGAACGGATAAAAGGAAGTCCTTCACCCAAAGAGTGATTAACACATGGAATTCACTGCCACAGGAAGTGGTGGCGGCTACAAGCATGGACGGCTTCAAAAGGGAATTAGATAAGCATATGGAGCAGAGGTCCATCAGTCGCTATTAGCCACAAGGTATAGATAGGGGCTCTGGGGCAAGGGATGCTCTGTATTCTTGGTGCTTGGGGGGGGTCAACAGTGGGAGGGCTTCTAATGTCCTGGCCCCACTGCTGGACCTCCTGATGGCACCTGGTATTTCTGGCCACTGTGTGACACAGAGTGTTGGACTAGATGGGCCTTTGGTCTGATCCAACATTGGCGTCTCTTATGTTCTTATGTTTATATTAAATCTCAAGTGGTGCTTGGTAGGGCTGGAGTGCAGTGTTTGGGTGGGTTTTTTGTTCTTTTTTTTTGCAAAGAGCCGTCTATGAATAGGAAGTGGGCAGTCTCAGGGTTGGGGCAGAGGGCCTGGAGGCGGGTGTGTGTGTGTGTGTGTGTGTAGCCCTGCAGGATGTAGTGCCACCCTTGGGGACCGGGAGTTCAGGCAGTCATGAGGTGGACTTGGAAGCCTTTCCAACTCCGTCCTCTCTTTCCCCCCCAAACAGGCAGCCCCCCAGCAACTGGGACAGGGATCCTCCTGCTGACTCTGCTGGACGTGAACGACAACGCTCCCGAGCTCGACCGCCAGGAGATCATAGTCTGCAACAGTGAGCCCGAGACGCAACACCTGCGCATCCTGGACAAGGACCAGCCCCCCAACACATCCCCCTTCCGCGCAAGGCTCACAAACAACTCGGATGAGAACTGGGCCGTGGAGATGGATGACAGAGGTGAGCGCTGCCCGGGCCTTCTGTGGCCAGGGGTGGCTTCTCCCTGCCGGCAGCACCGTTCCCCTTCGGCCGGTGGGCGAGGTTCCGCTGTCCTTGTTCCTCTGGCTGCCGTCTCTGCCCTCTGGAGGCACGGCTGTACTTGGAGGTCTCCGTAATGATTTGTGTCCCACCTTTCTCCCCAGTGGGGGGGACCCAAAGCAACTTACATCCTCCTCTCCTCTGTTTTTTGTCCTCACAACAACCCTGTGGGGTTGGCTGGGCTGAGAGTGCGTGTGACTGGCCCAGGGTCACCCAGCTGGCTTCAGGCCCGGGTTTCCCAGATCCCAGTCTGACACTGTAACCACTACACCCTGCTGGCTCTCTTAGTGTGCTCCGTCCTTCTGGTGGGCTCCTTGAACGGAGCTGTCAAGCCTTCGGGTGCTTTCTCCTCGCTCCTAGCTCTTTTCCTGGCTGCCGTTGGGCTTTCTCTCCCCTTGATGGGCCTGCCTGCTACCTGAGACTTCGGCATTGCTTCCCAAGCCTGCTCGTTTTCCAGAGGCCCCGAGCACAGCTAGTCCAGCTGCAGCAGCTTCATGCACGGGCTCCCACTGGGTGCAGCGCAGCATTTAGCTCCGGCACTGCAGCCTCACGCGATGCCCCTTCCATGGCCGCTCCCCAGAGCAAAGACCAGCCAGGCTTCCCCGTGACCCGAGTGGGGGGACTAGTTGGAGCTGGGGGGGGTCCCCACAGTCCGGCGTTGTGGGGCCAGGGTCTCTCTGCCTGCGGTGGCTCTCTCCCTCCTGACGCGAAGGCCCCGGCTGTGTTCGCAGGAGAAGTGGCGATGCTGAGGCTGCTGCAGCCCTTGAAGGCAGACACCTACAGCGTTTACCTCCAGCTCTTTGACAACCAGGGCAAGGGCCAGGCCACCGTCCTCAAGGCCACCGTCTGTGGATGCAACGGGATAGGGCCCGTGGATCGGTGCCCAGTGGGGCACGCGGCTGCCCTCGGGGCTCCTGCGATCCTGGCGATCCTGGGGGCCATTCTGGCTCTGCTGAGTAAGTGTGCCGGGGCTGCCCGACTTGGGGGGGGACGGACGTGTGCAGCGGATAGCTGGGTCTCATGGGGGGGGGGTGCAGCGGATAGTTGGGTCTCGTGGGGGGGGGGCTGGTCACTGACACAGTCCGTGTGCTTCAGGCACGAGAGCCAGGCTACACGCTAACATGGCCGGGGGGGAGACAGGAGGGCCCCCGAGGCCGATGGGTGCCTCTTCCGAAGGACTGCGCCCTCCTTTCCCCTTCAATCCTGAGGACTAGAAATGTGCTTCCTCCCTGATCTCCCGCGCTGCCAGAATACTTTACTAGATTCTGCGCTCCTTACGTCATGGAGCTCTGGGGAGAGACCATTTCTTTTCTGCGGGAGGGCCGGCCAGCCAGCCAGCACGGTCAGCCGATGTCGAGGGCATTCTGCTGGGTATCCCTGGGGGGGCTCAGGCTGCCCGGCTCCGTGGCCTGTGGCCCCCACTCACCCACCCCGATTCTCACCTGTCGCTGGTCTCCCTCCCAGTCATCCTGCTGCTGCTGCTTCTCTTTGTGCGGAGGAGGAAGGTGGTGAAGGAGCCGCTGCTGCTCCCGGAAGAAGACACCCGGGACAACATCTTCTACTATGGCGAAGAGGGCGGAGGGGAGGAGGACCAGGTGGGTGCTGCCTGGCACGGAGGGCCGAGGGCACTGCCAGCTCTCTGTTGGGAGGGGGGACCCTGCCCTCCACTGCTCCCCGAGCACAGAAGGGGCCCCGGAGGGAGCTCTTCCCCACCGCCCCTTGTTTTCCCTTCTACCCACCCCGGCATTGACCTGGCCAGGGACGTGCCCCGTGCCGTTGCCCTTGGCCTTGCTGGTTGCGTGATGGGCCAGAGGCGGTTCAGGTCTGTGGATCCAGCAGGTTCTGCCCCTGTGCACACACACCCCCCGCGGCAGTCTCTGGACTCCTTTCCCAGATCTTCTCCTAGCTTGGCCCACAATGCAGCTAGTTCCTCTTGCGCCAGGCTGAGCTTTGGGCTGCCCTGGCGAGCAAGCCGGCCTGCGGTGGAGCGGCTCAGCCAGCCCCTTGGCTCATGTAGCACCCACCCCGCCATGATGAGGCTGGGCCAGCCTTGCAGGTCCTCACCGTGTCCGTCCTCTCTCCCACCCAAAGGACTACGACCTCAGCCAGCTGCACAGAGGCCTGGATGCCCGTCCGGAAGTCATCCTCCGTAATGACATCGTGCCCACCCTCCTGCCAGCGCCACAGTACCACCCACGCCCCACAAACCCAGATGAAATTGGCAATTTCATCCATGAGGTAAGGTGAAAATAGGCAAGGTGCCCCAAGCGGCCTGTGAGTCAAGGCAGGGCCAGGCCCGGGCCCGTCTCCGCTCCTAGAAGGGGCGCCACTTTCCCCGGCCGGCCATGCCGCCTGCAGTCCTGGGACCTGCTACTTGAGCTAAGTGGGAATTCTCTCCAGCTGACTCTACAGCCCCTCCGTGGGCGCGGGGCATGGCGGAAGCAGGCGGCGGGGGTTGTCTCTATTCTGTCTCACTGGCATTACAGGCTGCCCAAAGAAACCCAAGTACTGACAGGGAGAAGATTTCTTTATGTTTTGAGAAGCATAAAAAGCTCCACTGCACTTTTTAGAAAAAAATCCCCTTCAAATAATAAAACAAGGATGTTGGAACGGAAGGTGTGGTCTGTGAGGTCTGGTGGCAGGAAAGAGTTTGGCCTGACGGGAGGGGGGATTCCTCCCAAGTTCTGCAGGGAGTGGCCGCCCCTTCTCTTGCTGCGGATGGCGGCACCCTTCTCATCAGCTGGGGAGTCTGCACCCCTCTAGAGAAATGGAGATCCATTTCTTCTTGTGCTCTGGGGGTTGAAAGGCCTCACTGCTTGAGTGAAGAGTCCTGCTGGGGGGCGGTGAACTGCCCCACACGGGGCAGGCCCTGGCTGTGCAGTCTGGGCTTGAGGGTCTCCTTGGGAACAGCGCCGGCTGTAGCAGCTGCCCTCTTCTCTCCCCCCCCCCCCCCATGCAAACGCGGCTGACCTGGCGCTTCCCTTGCTCCCGCAGAACCTGAAGGCGGCAGACACGGACCCCACGGCGCCCCCCTACGACACGCTGCTGGTGTTCGACTTTGAGGGCAGCGGCTCCGAGGCCGCCTCCCTCAGCTCCATCGCCTCCGCCAGCTCGGACCAGGACCAGGATTACGACTACTTGAATGAGTGGGGCAGCCGGTTCAGGAAGCTGGCTGACATGTACGGGGGAGGAGTGGACGACTGAGGCGGGCACACGGATCCTGCACGGAAGAGGCCGGAGGGTCCTGGCTGTTCCCCACCACCCCCTGAAGACCAGCGCACCCTCTGTGCAGCCAGGCTCACGCCGGCCACTCTATGCCAAATCTCCTGCCCCTCAGCCGGACGTGGGTGGCCCCCTCGTGGCTTTCCGAGACTGCGGCGCTTGCCTCCGCTTCCTCCTCCTCCTCCTCCACCTGCCCCGGGTGGTTCACTCCCTCTGAGCTGCCTTCATGACCCTGCCCAAGTGCTTCCGGAGAGACCCCAACCCCTGGCTGAGGAGCCCGTTGGCAGGGAGGCCGGCCCCCAAGCCCCCCAAGAGACTCTGCCCGGTTCTTGCCGCCTGTGCTGAGCCAGCAGCCCCGTGCGAGGATGAATCCTCTGGCTTGTCCCTCCTTCTCCCCACTGCTCAGCCCCCCAAGTGCTGGCAGCCCTCCTGGAAACCGTTTGCCTCTTTTATAAATGACCATAGGTCTCTTGTTTTTTTGTACTGTGTGGGGAGTAGACTGGGTAATAAGCTAAAGAACTGGACAATCAGGGTGTAAAGATTTAATAAAGGTTTTCTTTTTTAATTTCGGCGTGGGGCATGTGCGTGTGTCCGGGGAGCAGGTGCAGGTCGGGTTTGGAGGTCAGCAGGTGGAATGTGGTTGTGTAATAGGGGGGCTGCCCTGGAGTGGAGCAGCAGCTTCTAGGTTGGGGTCCCAGTCAATGTTCCCTCTAAGCTATGGAGTCTTGTGAGCAAAAATTCTACTTTTGTGAGCTACTGGCATTAAAGTTGTGAGCTCATGATTTGGCTACTGCATCAATTAGTTTGCTCTGGAGCCATCCTTCCTGAGCTGTGTGAGCCAGAGGCTAAAGAACTGTGAGCCAGCTCACACTAACTCAGCTTAGAGGGAACACTGGTCCCAGTTCTTGTCCCATTCCCACGTCCAGCGGCCGTGCGCAGCAGGCAGACAGGCTAGGCGTGTGTCTCCGGCCGGTGACCTCCACCGTTACCCTTTAGAAGAAAAGTTTGTAACCGAATCCTGTAGAACGCAAATGGCTGCTCTGTGGTGTTGGCAAGGAGGGGCTGCTGGCCTGGGTTGCCAACCTCCAGGTGGGAGATCCTGGAGATCTCGCAGAATTGCCCCAGAGGAAATGGCTGCTTTGGAGGGGGGGGCAGACTGTATGGCGGGGGTGGCCAAACTGCAGCTCGGGGGCCGCATGTTTTTCTTCCACACAGTCTTAACGTTAATAAAAAGCAAATCTGCATATTTTTCAATAGAAACGTGTGTGAGATATTTGTTCATGTCTTGCGGCTCTCAAAACGTCTGATGTTTATTCTGTGTGGCTGTTACATTAAGCAAGTTTGGCCACCCCTGCTCCTTGGCCTTTATACCCTGCTAAAGTTCCCTCCCCTCCCCAAACCCTCCAATCTCTAGGAATGTCCCAGCTGGTTGTTGTGTTGGACCTGCAAGGGATGGCCTGAGCTCTTCCAGGCCTCTGAGGTGCTTGGGATTGGGGGGGCGGGTTCGCAGGAAGTGGCATAAAGTGGCGTTAAGGCCCGGCCTGCCTCTGCCAGGGGCAGCCTCAGGAGTGGATGCCTGGAGGCAGCCCCTCCCCCCCCACTGCCGTGCTCTTCCATCTCTCTGCCTCTCCTCCCCCCTCGGCCTCCCCGAAGCCAACAGCAGACAAGGTTGTTTTTTCCAAAACAAACCGGCCAAGGCCAGAGTTTTCCCAAGCCTGGGCAAAGGAGCGCAAGGGGAAAATGCTTCCCCCCCCCCCCCGGCCCCCAAAACCCCACCACAGACCGCTGGGCCTGGCCCCTGATTATGTCACCTGCTACATAAGCTTCTGCGAGGAGGGTGGGGGTGCCACAGCAAGAGGACTTTGCACAGGCTTTTCCAGATCAGTGCTTTGGTCGGGGCTTCCTTGTGGGCAGAGCGTGCGTTCAACATCCATTATGTGCCAGTTGCAAACGATTTTGGGTAGCAGTCTAGCAGATGTTTGCCAAGGTGCTTGGTGCACCCCTTGCAGTCAGAGGCAAGGCCAGTGGTGGGCAAGGTGGTCTGACTCTGTACCTTCATATAGTTCCGTGTTGAGACCAGTTGCATTCAGCCCCTGCCCTGGTGAGATGTCACCCAGGAAGTTTTGAAGGACAGCTGTACTTCTGCATCCCCCGTGGATGGGGGGGCGTGGCTTGACTGTACCTTCCCTCCTGACTCCCCCATTTCAGTGAAGCTGGGGGGGGGTATTCCTCCAACCCATCACAATGGCAAGTCTATCTTGAACAAAGGAGACAGGTGCAGTATGACCAGGTTGTTGCTCCTGCTGTCATCCTCTCCCGCCATCATCAAGGAGATGTGCATCCAAAAACCCATCATCTTTCCCCCAGTAACTTTTAAGAACAGTTCTGCCCGATTGGACCAGTGGTCCATGGAGTCCAGCGTCCAATTTTTCATAGCCAGCTCCTCCTGTAGCTCATCACAACCATCTTCATAGAATCAGAAATTTAGAGTCAGAAGGTACCTTGCAGGTCATCTAGTCCAACCCCCTGTACTCTGCAGGAGCATAGCCGAAAGACAGTCCTACAACATACCCGAATGATGGTCGTCCAGCCTCTGCTTGAAAACATCCAGCGAAGGAGCATCCACCACCTCCCGAGGCAGACTGTTCCACTGCTCAACCGCTCTGACAGGAAGTTTCTCCTGATATTTAGCCGGTAACGACTCCCTTGTAATTTCCACCCATTAGATCTAGTCTTGCAATCCGGAGCAAGAGAGAATAGATCTGCTCCATCTCCTACATGACAGCCCTTCAAATACAATCATGTCCCCCATAAGCCTTCTCTTTCCCAGGCTAAACATACCCAACTCTTTCAGCCTTTCCTCTTAAGAGGAACCCTCTCACCATCCTGGTTGCCCTCTTCTGGACATGCTCGAGCTGGTCAACATCCTTCCTCAAATGTGGTGCCCAAAATTTATCCTGTCACTTAATCCATAAACTGTTCTCTTAGCCCATGATCGCTAAGCTCACCCAGGAGTCTTGACTCCCTGGTCAAAAGCCTTCGGGAGGTCTACTGGGCCACCCTCATCCACATGCTTATTAGCCAGCTCTCAAAGAGAGAGGCAGGACTTCCCCTTGCAGAAGCCATACTGATTTTTACTCAGCAGGCTTTGCTCCTCAGTCTGCTTAATCCTCCTTTAATAACAGTTTCCACTAATTTGCCTGAAACAGATGTTAGGCTAGCTACCCTGTAATTCTCTGGATTCCCTCTGGACCACTTTTTTTTTTTAAATCAGCCTGACGATTGCCACTTTGCAATCCTCTGGCAGCGAGGCAGATTTTAGTGATAAGTTACGCATACTGGTTAGCAGAGTAACAATTTCCCCGTTGAGCTTAGGAACCCTCTCGTGTACGCCATCCGGACCTGGAAATTTAATCATTTTTGTTTTGCCTGGGCATTCTGGTACTTCATTCCTTGATCACCTCAATTTGACCTAATTCTCGACACCCTTCCCAAAACATGCCCCACATTTTCCCCAGTGAAAGCAAAGGCCAAAAATCCATTCCATTCCCGTGCCATCTCCCCACCTTCCTTAAGCTGTCCTCCTCTCAGTTTCCCAGGTGAGCAGCGCTGAGCTGTCTCCCCATCAGTTTGCATCCTGAGGTACCTAACTGGTTGTGCGCACAGGGACTTGGCGCTGAAGCCAGAGCCTGGCCTCTTCTCCCAACTGGGCCTTGCAAAGCTGCTGCAATTGTGGGGAGGGGGCCGCCCCTGTGCTGCTTCCCGCTGCCCCCCCCCGACCATGCTCCTAATACCAGGAAGTATGTGGATTGTGATCTGGGTTTTTGGACTTTCCTTTTGGACCAGCACGGCTGCCAACAACTTATTTTCCCATGGGAGACTGCCGCTTTCCTCCAGGAGGGCCTTGGTCTGGCCCTTCCCCTTTCTGCCTGGTGATAACCCACCTGCCTGGAGCACATTCCAGTGTGTGTGTGTGTGTGGAAGGGAGAGAGTTTCACATGTGAGCAGGGTGGGTGAAACCTGAGCCTCTTTCAGCATTGTTGCGAGGCGGGCTCCTTCCCCCCTCCCCCCCATCGCTTGCTCCAGGGCCTCTTGGCCAGTCTCCATCCCTCCTCCTGCTGCTGCTCACCTGACTGGTTTTTCCTGTTGCAGCCCCTGCTTAGCACCACTGATGGAGGAAGGCACCAACGGCCAGCAGAAATGGATTTTGGAAACAGGGAAGAGGGAAGGCAGGAGGGTTGACGCCTCTGACCTTCCTTCCCTGTTGTTGCACTTCCAGCAGCAGCAGCTGTTTGGCCCTCCTCGGATACGGCACCCTAAGCTCAAAGTGCCCCCCCCCGGGGGCTGGGATAGATGGGCCGGTCTGTGGAAGCTTCCTTTTCCAGCTGGCCTCAGTTTCCTGGCGCCTGGGTCCAGCTAGAGGGCCCTTGCTTACAGAAGTGCAAAACTGTGCCATGAGGAGTGGCAGGGAGAGAGAAAAGCGGAACCTTGGCACGGAGCCTACTCAGATGGCTGACGATTGGGCCTTTCACCCGCAGAGGGCAGCCTCCGCCGCCATCTAAGTATGCTCCGTGCCAAGAGTTTAAGGCCTCCCCTGCCACAGGCTGTGAGGCTAAATAAAATACGGAAACATAACTGATAAAACCTTTGTTTAAATACGTGTTTAGCTCCCCGTTTTATTTTGCCTTTCCCCAGGGACCTCAGGGCTCCATCCATGGTTGCCCCTCTATATTTACATTCACAACAGCCTCGTGAGGTAGGTTAGGCTGAGAGAGAAAGGCCACCCAGTAAGTCCCGTGGGCAAGATGGGATTTGTGCGTGGCTGGTCCCAGGCTTAACTCCTCTACCCAGTCTCTCCAGTCTAAGGGATCAGAAGGGTTGCTCGAGGGAAGCGTCGACGTCTGGTGCAGCAGAGGTGGGAAAAGGCAAATTCGGTTACTAGGCAAGGGATTGGCACTAAAACTGCCCGGATGTGCAGGCTTCTTTGCGCAGATCTGTGGCACAGCCACAACTGGAATATTGTGTATAGCTCCAGCTGCCATGACTCAACAAGGACATTGGTGAGCTAAAAAGAAAAGGGGCAACCCCAATGACTAAAAGGAAAGGCTAAGGAAAGTGAGGGGGTTCCTTTCAGCACGAGCAGGGCTATTTTTGGGCAGGAACGCACAGGAACGGAGTTCTGGCTGGCTCCCCAGTTGGCCACGGCTTATTGAATTGTATCCCAGAGAATTTTGACAAAAAAATCAATGATATTTTATAATCCATGTAGTAACTGCAGTGTTGGGAGGCACCAAACGAAGTTGATTCAGGAGAGGCAAAAGAACTGCTTTGTGCAATGCATTATGAACTCATGCAACTCCCTGCCATAACACGCAGTGACAGTCACTAGTTGAATGAGCTTTGAAAGGGGATTTGGCACATATGAACATCTATGAAGCTGCCTTCTACTGAATCAGACTATCTGTCCATTAAAGCCAATATTGTCTACTCACATTGGCAGTAGCTCTCTGGGGTCTCAGACAGAAAAGGGTCTTTCTTTCGCACCCCCCATGGCCAGATCCTTTGAACAGGAGATGCTGGGGATTGAACCTGGGACCTTCTGCAGGTCCAGCAGTGGCTCTACTGCTCAGCCAGGCACATTCATGAAGAACAGGGGCCTAGTGGTGGACATGTGATATAGTGCGTAACTTTTGGGTTATGGTACATACTCTGAAACAGACAGTTTCGTAGACTTCAGTACCTTTCCAACCAGAATTGTGCTTATTGAATTGTATCCTAGAGAATTTTGACAAAAAATCAAATATATTTTATAATCCATGTAGTAACTGCAGTGAGAATTTTATTGGCAACATACTGGAAACTTCCATCAACACCTTTGGAACATGATTTAATAGCGAAGATGACCTCAATGCTACAAGGGCAAACGGAAGAAGACTTTGCTGGACTATGGACTCTATAATTCGATGAAATTACAAGGAGAGGAAAGAGAGCCAGTTTGGTGTCGTGGTGAAGTGTGCAGACTCTAATCTGGGAGAACCGGGTTTGATTCCCCACTCCACTTGCACCTGGCTGGATGACCTTGGGCAAGCTGTAGTTCTGATAAGAGCTGTTCTTGAATAAGAGCCGTTTCTGTCAGAGCTCTCTCAGCCCCACCTACCTCCCAGGGTGTCTGTTGTGGGGAGGGGAAGGGAAATGAGTTTGTAAACCGCTCTGAGACACCTTAGGGTAGTTATGGGCGGGGTATAAACCCAATCTCTTCTTCTTTAATGGGTATTGAATTTAGCCATATAGCTGTAGTTCTGATAAGAGCTGTTGAATAAGAGCAGTTTCTGCCAAGAGCTCTCTCAGCCCCACCACCTTGAAAAAGAGCAGTTTCTGTCAGAGCTCTCTCAGCCCCACCTACCTCGCAGGATGTCTGTTGTGGGGAGGGGAAGGGAAAGAAGATTGTAAGCCGCTCTGAGACACCTTTGGGTAGTGAAGGGCCATGGGGTATAAATCCAATCTCTTGTCTTCTCTTCTACATGCAGGAAACTATTGCTTTTACCCTTTCCCCTATCCTTTCCCCTTTTCCCTTCCTTACTCTTCTTTATTTTAAAAACTTAATAAAAATGTATTAATAAGAAAAAAGAATAGGAGCGTTAGTGGCTTTTAACCCTAATGGTGAAATGAAACCTCCATGTTCAGAGGCAGTGTACGTCCTCTCTTAAATGGTCTGGAATGACCACTTTCTCCTCAGAGAAGAAGAGATTGGATATATACCCTGCCCTTCACTGGGGGTCTCAGAACAGCTTACAATCTTCCGCTCCCCACAATAGACACCCTGGGAGGTAGGCGGGGCTGAGAGAGCTCTTTCGAGGACTGCTCCTGAGAGAACTGGTGACTGAACCAAGGTCATCCAGCAGCTGCATGTGGAGAAGTGGGGAACCAAACAAGGTTCTCCCAGATTAGAGTCCGCGCACTTAACCACTACACCAAACTGGTTCTCAGAGACTGTTGCATGCTCCTCCACAGCCCCCCTGGTGCCAGAGGAGGTCACACCCAACCAGTTGTTTTTAGCCATGGCACCAAAATTCCGTGGCTCCCTTCCCAGGGAGGGAGGCTTGCCTGGTCCCTCCCCCAATGGCCTTCAGAGGACAGGCAAAGACAAGCCCCGTCCAGAGAGCATCGGAGGTGGACTCTCTGCTGGTCTCGGTTTCTGTGCTCGCATCATGCACTGTCACTGCTGCTTCGGTTTCACTTGCCCGTTGGCATTCCCCGCTCAACTTCCTTTGCTGTTCATGGCTTAGTTCTTTTCTTCTGTTATGATTGTAAAGGTAAAGGTTCCCTTGCTCGAAAGCCAGTCGAGTCCGACTCTAGGGTTGCGGTGCTCATCTTCGTTTCAAAGCCGAAGAGCCAGCGCTGTCTGAAGACATTTCCGTGGTCATGTGGCCGGCGTTACTAAACACCAAGGCGCACGGAATGCTGTTCCCTTCCCACCGAAGTGGTACCTATTTATCTACTTGCAATTTCTTGCTTTCGAACTGCTTTTAAATGCTCTGGTGCAGAGGAATACAAACATTGTTATAAGCAAAAATAACCTATTCAAGCTTTAGCTGATCCTTCAGTGTGTGTGTGTATGTGTGGGGGGGTGTTCTTAAAAGTGTGGTACTGTAGAGGAAGGTAACTCAAATCTGGTTCCTGAAGGATGTTTTGCTTCTAGTCTTAAAAGTCATAGGGAATGGAAATTAGATGTTACGGATAGACAGCCTTTCCTTCTCACTGTGAATTTGGTATCTATTTATTTACTCTGTTTTATACCCCACCTTCCCCCCCAAAGGGGACCCCAAGCAGCTCACATCCTCCTCCTCTCCTCTGTTTTATACTCACAACAACAACCCGGTGAGGTGGGTTAGGCTGGGAGGGAGTGACTGGCCCAAGGTCACCCAGCCAGCTTCCCTGGCAGATATGTTGTCGAAGGCTTTCACGGCCGGAGTTCGTTAGCTGTTGTATGCTGTAGATGTGTAGATTAGTTGTTGTAGATTTTTCACAGTGCCAAGACTTGGGCCACACAGCCCGGAAAATCTACAACAACTAATTCCCTGGCAGAGTCGGGATTTCTCAGATCTTCGTCCAACACTTTCAACCAGTGCACCACGCTGGCTGTGTTTGCTCAATAACGATTTATCTTCATCCTTTTAAACTGTGTTTTTTTAAAAATATAATAATATGTGTTGAGTCATAGGCACGTAAAATATACACAGAGGCACACACTCATACCTGTCTGTGCAGTAATACGTTATTGCAGACTTCCTTGATGGGTTGGACCATATACACCTTCTCTCCTCCCCCCCCCCCCCCCCCCCTTCCCCCTTCTCCCCCCCCCCCCCCCCGCCCCGGGTGCTTTCCAGGTGAAGAAGCCATTCTCCTGTGGTCCCTCCGGATGACCCATGGCGGGCGGCAGGCCGGCCTCCTGGTGCTTCCTGCTGCCAGTGTGGCCCTCCCAGCATCATCCCCCCTCAGCTGCAAAGGAAGTGCCGGAGGGAGGCTGAGTCACACACAGTCTGGGGCTCTGCTTGCGACAGGAAGCTGTTCACCTGGGCCGGCCTTCCTGGGGTGGAAGCACAGCCCAAGTCGCTGGCCAGGGAGACGACACAATGAGTAAGGGTGGAGGGTGGGAGCCAGTTTGGTGTAGTGGTTAAGAGTGGGGGACTCTAATCTGGGAGAACCGGGTCTGATTCCCCACTTCTTCACATGCAGCTGCTAGTGTGACCTTGGGTCAGTCACAAGCTCTCTCAGAGCTGTTCTCTCAAGGGCAGTCCTCTCAGAGCTCTCTCAGCCCCACCTACCTCACAGGGTGTCTATTGTGGGGAGGGGAAGGGAAAGGAGATTGTAAGCCGCTCTGAGACTCCTTCGGTTAGTGAAGGTCGGGGTACAAATCCAATCCCTCACTGGCCACACATTCTGGCTGGAAACTGGAGGCCCACAACAGCCCTGGCATTGAAAGGTGCTGGGGTGGAGCTCTGGTAAGCCCTGTTTACTGACTCCCTCCATGCACAAGCCCACCAGACCGACTCCACTATCAGCTGGATACCTACTTGTCAGGGGGCTTAGAGCAGCTGCTGCTCCTGTGATGGCAGGGGGTGGGCTAGATGACCCTCGTGGTCCCTCCCCAAGTCTGAATTAAATAAATAAATAAACAAACAAGAAATACCTTGGGAATGTAGGAGAATACATCTGACCAGTGGAATGGAACCTGATTCATGATGATCCCTGCCACTGTACCCTCACAACAACGCTGTGAGGTAGGCTAGGCCAGGACACGGCCCAGGGAGTGTCAGGGCTGAGAGGGGAAGGAGCCCCTCCCGGGGGTTCAAGGCTTGCTGGCTGTGAAAACCCTGGGGGGGGAGGGTCGGCCCCCGGCTCAGCAGCCCTCAGAAGGTGCCCCCCAACTGCCTTGGGCTGGATCCAATTCCCCACCAGGGCCAACTTACCCAGTAGGCACGCACGGGGCCTGGGGCCCACTGTACTGTCAGGGGCCCATGGAAATGTCTCCTTTTCAAACCGGGAAGGAAAAAAAATGAACTTTTAAGGGCCAAAGAAAACGTTCATTTTTTGTTCTCACTTCTGGAAAAAAATGGCATCTTTAGGGCTCACGAGAATGTATTGGATTTTGCCTAAAACGGGGGAAATGTTGCTGCATTTAAAGGTATCTCAGAAATACTTTTGAAGCTTGAGATGGTTCTGGTGGGAGGGGCCCACGGAAGGCGTCAGGCGGCCCCGATCCGCCCCAGTCGTGCTGCGCCCATTCAGACGCCTTTGGGGAGCGCTTTCTCCCCACCCCCCCGTGGCCCCCTCCCCAAGTTCTTCTGGTGCTCCTGCGCAGGCCGGCCCTCTGGCTGCCTCGTTCTATGAGAAGCGCCGCCCGGAGGATCCTCCAAGTCAATGTTCCCTCTAAGCTGTGGAGTCTTGTGAGAAAAATTTCTACTTTGTGAGCTACTGGCATTAAAGCTGTGAGCGAGCCATTTGGCTGCTGCATGAATTAGTTTGCTCTGGAGCCACCTCTCCTGAGCTAAGACAAAAATGTGTGAGCTAGAGGCTAAAAAACTGTGAGCTGGCTCACACTGCCTCAGCTTAGAGGGAACAGTGCTCCAAGTGGCTCTTCGGTGTGTGTGGGGGTTCTCTTTTCCCTCTTCCTCCCACAGGAGGCTCTCTCTCACCTGTCCGAGAGCCGCCTTTTTCTCTTGTCCCAGGGGTGGTCTTTGGCTCGGTTCCCTCTTAGGGGACTTAGGCGGCCGGTGGTGACCGAAAGTGCCTTTGAGTGACCCCCCCTGACAGACCCTGCCTGCATGTGTAGGGGAAGCAACTGGGGAGGGGCTGACTACCCTTGCCTGCCATGTAGCAGCCCCGGACTTCTTCCTGAGTTGGTCTCAAGTCCAAGTAGTCACCGCCGGGGCTTAGCCCCTCCCCAATTGCTCCCCCTACACATGCAGGCAGGGTCTGTCAGGGGGAATGAAGCCTCGTGAGCTCAGGAGTTCTGGGCTGCGGCGGGCTATGCTGGTCGGGTGTCCGCACTAAGTTCGGCATCAGTCCTGGGGAGACCTCTTAGCCAAGCCGTGGCTCACCCTGACTGATGTGGAACCAGGTTCCCTATCCAGAATTCTCACTTTGCTGCCCAAGCAGCCCAAATAACCCGAGATGCTGGGGGGGGGGGAACTGCCCACGGACTCCTGTCCGGCTTCCTGCTGCCCCCCCTTAACAATGACCCTGCCCCCCCAAGAAGCCCCTTGCCGAAGTGACGGGTGCAGGATGGCACAGGGCCATGGGAGGGGAGAGAGTTTTTAACACTGATTAATCCTTTTTGGGAGAGGCCAGGCAGGTTTGGAAAGATTTTCTATCAACTAGGACGACTTTGGCTCAACAGGGAGAACAGAGCCATGCCATGTCATGATTGCCTGTTGGCCGCAGTGGAACTGCCACGTCCTGAGGCAGTATACCTGTGACTGGCTGGCCCCGTGCCCTGACTGTAGGACTTCTGGGGGCACCTCGGTGGTCACTGCATGAAACAGGATGCTGCCTTAGGTGGGCCCTGATCCTGGAGGGCTGCTCTTAAAATTCACGCGTCTCTTCCTTTTTGACATGTCAGGCTGGAAGGTGGCTTTGCGAGGAGGCGGCGCCATGCCAGCCAGGCTTCAGCGCGGAGACGTACACGTTCACTGTGCTGCGACGGGACCTGAGGAGGGGCCAAAGGCTGGGTGAAGGTAAGGGGAGTTCCATTCCCGTTCTTCCTGCTTCCCCCGGGTATTCTTGTGCAGGGCGGCACCTGACTCTGGCTGGGCGTGTCGACTTGCCTGGCCTCCTTCCTGGAACCAGGATAAACTGGACCTGGGGCTAGATTAAGCGTTCTGCTAAACATGTAGGGGAGTGGAGCCCCTTCCCACTGGCATTGTCCCTGGAACTGCAAAACACGCTCTGCCTTTGTACAATACTCCTCTAGCCTGAGAAGAAAACTTTTGGCTTCCAGTGGGTTTCAGATCCCCTGCTGGTGGGTTCATATGGCACCCCTTTCCCCCTTCCGAAAGAGGGAAAGTGACAACCTTCTGGGGGATCGGCTCCCTCTTCTGTAAAATGGGTGCAGTCACAACTTGCTGGTCAAGGTGACCCTGGGCGTACACAAGGTTGTAAATTACTCTTCTGCAGAGCTCTGCGAGTGCAAATCCTAAATTTATTTTATTTATTATTACATTTCTACCCTGCCCTCCTCGCAAGCGGGCTCAGGGCAGCTTACAATAGGGCAATAGTAGGGATCCCTGGATTGTGGGTTTGGGGTTTTCCCCACTCCCCCAAGGTGATAATGGGGGGGGGAGGATGCCGTGCGGTTTGCCTTTTGCTTGTGGAAGTGGATGTTTTGTTGCTGTGTGGAGGGACTACTTGAAATGGGCTTTGACTCTGAATGCCAGGAGAGGTCACAGCCGAGGAGGGCCAGATAAACACCTCTCCTGAGAGGCGAATTGATCACCTGGAGCTTCAAGGGTCGGGGCAGGGGACCTTCTCCGGCCCCCCTCGGGAGTCCCTGGTCCTTCCAGCCAGGGTCCCTCAGCCTCTCCTGCCAGGTTCTGGAAACCAGAAGTTCCGACCCTTCCAGCAGCTATGCAGGGTGGAGCCTGGCAGGGAAGGCGAGGTGGACTTGCTCCAACTTGCAGCTGTCGGGCGTGTTGTTTGCATTTGGTGCATTTGTGAACTTTGACAAGCCTCCTGACTGGCTCCCTGCCTCCCAAGCGCCCGGCTTCTATTCTGCCCGCTTATCTCAGTTTCGTTGGCGTGACGGGGGTGGCCCCAGTCACTTTGTGTCAATAAGCTTTGTGAATCATTGACTTGGTTTTACCAGGGCTTAGGACGGAATCTTGTTTTCGGTTCTGCTCTGAGTAAGGCAGGATCTTGACTGTTGCCCTCGTCTCATTAAATTGTCCTGGGGGAAAGTTTGTCTTGGAGTCCTGATTTCCCAGGCAGGTCACGGACATGGGTGTCACCGTGCTCTCCTTGGGCCGATCCCGTTAACATAAGAAGAGCCCTGCTGGGTCAGACCAGTGAGGGTCCGTCTAGTCCAGCATCCCGTCTCACACAGTGGCCAGCCAGCTCCTCTGGATGGCCAACAACAGGGCACAGAGGCCGAGGCCTTCCCCTGATGCTGCCTCCTGGCACTGGGATTCAGTGGTTTAGTGCCTCTGAATGTGGAGGTTCCCCCCAGTCACCATGGCTAGTAGCCACTAAGAGACTTATCCTCCATGAATCTGCCTAATCTACCATCACTACATCCTCTGGCAGCAAATTCCACACTTTAATCACTCTCTGTGCAAAGTAGTATTTCCTTTTGCCTGTCCTGAACCTACTGCCCATCAGCTTCATTGGATGCCCTCGAGTTCTAGTCTTTTGGGAGAGGGAGAAAAAATTATCTTTGTCAACTCTCTCCACCCCTTGTATAATTTTTAAACCTCTGTCATGTCCCCCCCAAGTTGTCTCTTTTGTAACTGGAAAAGTCCCAGAGACTCTTCAGCCTCTCCTCATAGGGCAGGTGCTCCAACCCCCTAATCAGTTGCCCTCCTCTGTACTTTTTCCCAGCTCTGCGATGTCCTTTTGGAGATGGGGTGACCAGAGCTGTACCCAGTATTCCAAATGAGGCTTCCTGTAGATCTGTACAGGGGCATTACAGTATTGACTGTTTTATTCTCAATCCCTTTCCTAATAATCCCTAACAGAGTTTGCCCTTTTCACCACTGCCGCACCCTGGGTTGAGACTTTCATTCGGCTTCCACTACAGCCCCAAGATCTTTCTCAATCTCAGTGAGTTCAGAAACCATTAGTCTATACTCGGAAGCTGGGGTTTTTTTGTCCCAATGTACATCACTTACAGCTCTGTGCATTCTATTTCACATAATAGTCATGGCAACATTTCATGACTAAATCACAAATAATAGGAACACTTTACAAAATAGCCGCCCTGTCTCGGAGCCGAGCCTTCCCTTGCCCCTGCCTGGCTGGAGAGCACCCTGATGTCTCTTTAGGAGAGGCAGTGTGGAACCCATGGGGCAGATGTGGTGGGGAGGGGCTGTGGCTCAATGGAAGAGCCTCTGCTTGGCGTGCAGGAGGTCTCAGCTTCAATCCCCGGCGGCATCTCCAGTTCAAAGGACCAGGCAGTGGGTGATGTGGAAGACCTCAGCCTACAGCCCTGGAGAGCCTCTCTCAGAGTAGACAGGGCTGACCTCGATGGATCCAGGGTCTGATTTAGTATAAGGCAGCGTTATGTATGTTCATGCGTTTTATGACAAGGCTGAATCATAGACTGGTTTGCGAAGTGGATCCCAGGTCGTGCTGGAATTATTTTCTTTGGTAGATTACAGGTTCTCCCCCCCCAACTTAAACATTTTTATTCCACTTTTCAGTTTTTAAAACAATTGCCAAAATAGCTAACATCCGGTTAGAACACAGAAATATACACAAGACAACATTTAAAAAAAAACACAGCAGTCAAAATAATTTAAACATTTCACTAGATTTTAAAATGATGGAGGTGGGAGAAGGGTAAAAACCACAACCAGGCAACTCACACGCATTTTTCAGAAGGCTCCGCACCCTTCTTAAAGTGGCCAGGTCTTGGCTGCTCTGTGGTGGCAGTGAGCTGATTTCTCCAAGGAGGACATTCCACATGCGTGGTGCCACTACCAAAGAGGCCTGTGCACACTCCACCTTGCCCTGCCTCAGACTAGGGCCTCGGGTCAACTGAAGCATTCTCCAGTGGGGGTCCTAAGCTGCCGGAGAACTTTCACCATGCAAGTCGTGTTATTTGTAAAGAGGACAGAATTGCAGGCCTGGAGTTCAGCATGTTTAGACTGTGGAGCTGGTCGGCAAAAAAAGAACGAATAGTTAATGTTATAAGGAAGTGTAGGAGTGCATGAAGCTGCCTTCTATAGATTGTACATTGTGATATGAATGTGCTGTTTTTATTATGATGTGTTGGGTGAGACCTTTTTTCGAATCAGGTGAACGTGCTCTAAGAGTTACTGAAAGGAGAGAAGGATCACAAGCCCCGAAATATTTGGCATTTGCCCTGTATAACCCCCAGAAACTTTCACATGTCTGTCTGTGTACCGTGGGACCAAAAGACTGCCAAGGATCCAACTGTGGTACTTAAGTTCCTGCTCTGGAGCAGCCCGTGTTGAAAGGGCAGGTGCCTCTACGCCTCTGTCTTGCGCAGGTTATGAAAGCAGGTGAAAGAGATGCCTTTCCCCCTGGGGTTAAAGTTGACTCAGCTGTTTGGCAAGAACTTTGCATACACCCAGCATGGCTGCTTAACTCTCCGAGTGATGCTTGCTTAAGGCCTTGAAGATTTCCACTAGAGGCTAAAAGGCACACCTGTCTGCTCTCAGTCCGGGCGCTCTGGGATGGAGGTGCTGGCTGCTCTTCACGCTCAGCGCTAGAGAGAAGCGATGCTGGCGTCAGTCCTGCCCTTGCCTCTGTAGCTGGTTCCGGTGGGCAGCCCCGAGCTCCCAGATCCCGTAAGGCCTTGCAGGGCTCTTGGGAAGATAAAAAGGCAACGCCCCACCTGGGCCGCGCTGATAGTCATCAGAAATGATGTGTGTTGCAAGGCGGCACGCCAACAGAATCCAGTGCCAGGCTGATATGGGGGGGAGCAAGGGGAGGAATAGCCAAAACCATTTCTGTAGAGTACAAAAAGGTGGCCCCTGGCTGCTTCGGAGCCACTGAGGGGCTGAGGCACAGTGCGAAGGGCTCTGCTAAAGGGGATGCCTTCTGCCGCTCTCTGGGTATAGAAAGATTAAACTGGGAGGGAGGGAGCCATCTTCAGGCAAGATGCCAGTGCGCGCTTCTCAAACTGGTATCTCTGTTAATCCTTACCAAGGCAGAAATCATGACAATGTGTTTTCTATTTTGAAGCTAGAGCCAGGCTGCCGGCTTTGTTCTGGCAGGGCTTCTGTGATTATAGAGGAACAGTTCCTCCACCCGCAAAACCCTTGTCAGTTGTTGTCAGGTTGTGAAAAGAAATCCAGGAGCTGAAGATCACCCTGCCAGTCCATGAAGTGACAAGAAAATCTTCGGCTCCTGAATTTCCTGCAGCCACGCATCCATAAAAGGCACAGCAGCCCTAGAGGAAGAAAAGCTGGCGAAGTGAACCCTGCATGTGGAGTATTTGCCATTGTTTCATGTCCCTGAGCCGCTGTCTGTGGTTACAAGAGTTGCGATCCTTCAGTGTGACGTAGGACACACTCAAGTCCTCGCTCTGTTTTGTCCCAAGGGCAAATGGAGCCCCATGCTTTGGGTAAAGCAGGGCAGTCCTTGGCCCAGGCCTTGGTAAGCAAGGCCTTGGAGAGCCACTGCCAGCCAGAGCGCTAGGGTGTCAGCTTCCTGGGGTGGCTGCGGGAGGTGGAGGATTGTGCAAGCTTTTGAATGACACAAAACTCTTCGTCAGGCCAACTCTTCGGTGTGCATCAGAGCGCACTTTCCAACGTCTTTCACCCGAAGAGGCCAGCTGGGTCCCTGCCTGTGGTGACACGATCCCTCTTTCTGCTTCTGACGCTTCTTGGTCATTCTTGTGTTGCAAAAGCAGAGGGAAGCTGAGTCAGGTTCCCTTGAAGTGTGTTTGTGCATCCCATACGCTTGTGCCTCCTACGGGGGCATCTGGGGCCATGTCTGCAACTCCGCGGAGGGGCCTTGCGGCTGAGTCAGAGAGCTGCCGCTTTCCTGAGCC